ATTTCTTGGGAAAAAGGGTGCGTTGACAGTCACCACAGCTATCGGGTGACATTGGAAGTAGGGGCTCAACTTCCAAGCGGTGACTATGAGAGATAAGGCAAGCTTCTCCAAATGTGGGTAGTGAGTTTCCGCTCCCATTAAAATTTTACTTACATAATAGATGGGAAATCGTCCTCGCGGACTAAAACTGCGCTTACTGCTACTTCCAAGACTGCAAGGTAGACCGACAATGTTTCACCTTCCTTTGGTTTTGATAGTAAAGGAGGGATTTACAAGTATTTTTTTCAAATCTTTCAAGGCCTGCTGGCATTCCAGGGTCCATTCGAAGTTGTTTTTATTTTTTAGCAATGCGAAAAAATTGTGACATTTTTTTGATGACCGGGAAATGAACTGCTCAAAGCTGCCAATCTCCCCGTGAGCCTTTGGACTTCCTTCATGCTTGACAGTTGGTCCAGGGTGTCTTCGATGGCCTTGATCTTTTCGAGGTTAACCTCAACCCCCCTTTGTGATACCAAAAATCCTAGAAACTTTCCCGAGCTAACCCGGAACGCGCGTTTCTTGGGGTTAAGCTTCAAGTTATGCTTCCTTAGGATGTCAAAAGTCTCTTGCAGATGCTTAAGGTGATCTCCTGCATTCAAAGACTTCATAAGCATATCGTCTATATAAACTTTCATAGTTTTCTCTATTTGTTTTGCAAACATTTTGTTTACGAGCCGCTGATAAGTGGCTCCGGTGTTCTTCAACATGAATGGCATCACGTTATAGTAATATGTGCCAAAATTCGTTATGAACAAAGTCTTTTCCTGATCCTCCCGGTTAATCTTAATTTTGTTGAACCTGGAGTAAGCATCAAGGAAACTCATTAACTCATGCTTGACCTTCGCATCGAACCAATATCAAGTAGACGAGTTACCTCTTCTTTGATGAATTTACTTTTGGCCTCCACAATAGGGTGTTTCTTTTGGCTTACCAGAGGTATGTTGGGATCCAGACTTAATTTTTGTACGGCTACTTCCGTCGGGATACCTGTCATATCCGCATGCGACCATGAAAAATAATCGGCATTAGATTTAAGAAATTCAATAAAGCTAGACTTGAGCTCGGGGTGCAGTCATGTCCCCAAGTGCAATTTCCTTTCTAAGAACTCTTCGAACAACACAACTTGCTCAAGCTCTTCCGCCGTGGATTTTGTTGCATCTGACTCTTCTGGAACCTGGAAATACGTCGGCACCTGATAAGATTCGTACGCTTCTACCCCCGGGCTAACTTCATCCGATTCGGGAGTGGACGCCGGTACCTGTAGTTGCTATGCCACGTGTTTCTTCCCTTTGCTACTGTAGATCGAAATTGCATTCATCTCTCTTGCTGCCGGTTGATCTCCCCTTATCTATTTAACTCCTTCGGGTGTTGGAAACTTCAGCAATTGATCATATGTGATGGTACTACTTTCATCTCATGCAACTATGGTCTTCCCAGAATAATATTATATCCTATATCACCATCTACCACTTCAAAAAGAGTTGTTTTCATCACTCATTCGGCATTCGTGGGCAACAAAATCTCTCGTTTTGTTGTCACGCTCGAGAGGTTGAATCCGGCGAGGAGTTTTGTGGCCGGAATGATGCTTCCGGTGAGTTTAGCTTGCTCCAATACTCATCCATTGTATGATAATGGCCGAACTTCCTAGATCCACTAAAACATGTTTAATTTGAAAGTCTAGCTCATTTAAAGAAATTACCAGCGCGTCATTGTGCGGTAACAACAGTCTGTCTGTGTGCTCCTCCATGAAGGTGATATTGTCTTCGGCGACTCCTTGGAGCCTTTTGCTATGGGTTATTGATACTTTTGTCTTTTTTGCTGCAAAAAAGGTGACCATGTTGATCTCGTTCACCCCGAAGATCATGTTGATCGTCTGGCGTGGGGATCTTCCCCTGCTGTCAAGGCGTTGTCCCGGTTGCGACCATAATTTTTCTTAGCCTGGTCACTCAAGAACTCTATGAGATGACCGTTCTTTAATAGTGTCTCCACTTCTTCCCGGAGATGTCGATAGTTCCCAATCCGGTGTCCATTCATCCCGTGGTATTCACACCACAAGTTGGGATCACTCTGACTGGGATCGGATCTCATCGGCTTCGGAAATCGTGCTACTTTGATGTTTCTCATAGCTGATACTAACTCTACTATGCTAAAATTGAAATTATGTTTTGAAAGCCTAGGGTAGGAAGGATCCCACATACCTGACGCTTCCTTGTCCTGCAACGATCTATTATTCCGACCGTGACCAGACCCTCTGTCGAAAGCGAATCTATCTACTAACCGGAAACCTCTGCTGCGGCCTTCGGTCCATTCGTAGGGAAAAAACCGGCCTCTCAAAGATCATCTATCCGTGTCGGAGTCGTCTTTTGATCTTTCTTTGTTCTTCTCCCGTCCCTTTGCCGATGACGGGAAACCAACCTGATCATCTTTGATCCTTATCTTTGACTCGTGCCCGTTGTGTACATCCGCCCTAGTAGTTTCTTGGAACTCAAGAAAAATTTCCTTTAGTTTTCGGAAAGTGTCTAAACTTCTTGAATTCAGTCCTTTGGTGAATGCTTCAGCCGCCCATTCGTCTAGAACATCCGGGAGCAACATCCTTCCTTTTGGAACCGGCTAACGAACTCTCGTGGCAACTCGAATTCTCCATGTGCATTTCTGAATATGTCGTGCTCTCGGGCCTACACCTTTCTGGCCCCGGCATGAGCCTTAATAAAAGAATCCGCGAGCATCTCAAAGGAATTTATGAAATCCTTGGGTAACAGTGAATACCACATCAAGGCTCCTCTCGTGAAAGTTTCTTCAAACTTCTTCAGCAAAATAGATTCAATCTCATGAGGCACTAAATCATTCCCCTTCACCGCCATTGTGTAGGTGGTAATATGATCCTAAGGGTCTGAAGTTCCATCATACTTGGGCACGTCGGACATTTTAAACCGCTTCGCGATTAATTCGGTTGCCGCGCTTGGTTTATACGGCAACTGAATATACCTCTTTGAGTACGATCCTTTCAACATTGGGGGTGCGCCTGGGATTTGGTCTATGCGGGCGTTCACGTCTCTCATAAACCATAAGAGTTCATTCTTGAAGGGGTCATTTTCGTCATTGGGTCTGGATCCGCTCTTCCCCAGCTCCATCAGAGCCAACTTCGCCCCTCAGGGTGTAGTTGTCTGTCCTCTGAGTTATCCGATTTGCGGGAATGCTGGGAGGAACTGAATCTCGTCTATTCGTATTAATTGAAGCCCCCAATAATGTCTGCTTCAGTTCCTTCATAACCTTATCCTGTCGCGTAAGATGGCCCAAAATTATTGCTCGTTGCTCTTGTATGACCCTTACCACATTAACAACATATTCCTCTTCAGCATCATCAGGAGTTGCCTCCCGAACATGCCGCGGGTATCGCATGTCGTGTAATAGCGTGGCATCGTTCCCTTCATCGTGGGTGTCACTAATTGAATCCTCAAAATGTGGCTGATCCCCTCAAACCTCGGTATTGTGTGTGTTGTTAACACCGTTATATGCCATTTCTTGTGATTTTTTTAAAGACAAAATCATTAAAATACTTTAGTAAAAGGCAAGTATCAACTTAACTACACGGCTATCTTGGCCCCATGGTGGGTGCCAAACTGTTTATCCATAAAATAGTACAGTTGAATTTATACGTGGTTTCTAGACAAGTAAATTAATTCGATCCTGAAATAATAAGATGATTGAAGAAATATGTAATACTTAGCCTTGATGTGAAGATGAAATAGCAGAAATAGCGATTCCGAGCACAACAACAATAAGAACAAAAAATAAAAAGATAAAGTCGTATAGATCTTAGTATAGATTATAGCATCAGTCTTGCCAGCAAATATCATGTCCTTTACAATGGTAATAAAGCTCACTATTATGGTTACACCTAGGAAATAAGGACCTAGGATCAAGCCTCTCTTCAATGCCAATTACGAGGGCCATTGAAGAATGTGTAATGACATGCATAAATGACAAATTTTTATAACGAACAGTGCACTCAATGCTATGGAATATTCTTCATTAATGCCACCGGGCGGAGGGTATTAGATTGTTCCTTTTTAATCATAATCAAAGATGTTTTCTTTTATTGCCTCTTTATGAGCGCCATTCCTTCCGGTAGAAAACGAAATAATTGCCTTCGGTTCCACGTGTCATTCTTTTAAGCGGCTATCTGTCATAACATATTTTGTCCTATACAGATATTTAATAATATTAATTATGAATTATTTATGTTTGATATTGTTTGTCTCTCTTAACAATATTTTAGTTGATTAACATTTTGCTAATTGCATCAGTTATTGTGAAATTGAAAAAAAAAACTAAAATAAGAGTTACACTTTTTGGTTTTCTAAAACAAGATTTTGAGATAAATTTAATTTTTTTACTCGAGGGTCTATCAAAAACAATTTCTAAGGCTGAGTACATCTTACACTCCTTAAATATCACATGTGGGATTATATTGGATTGTTGTTATTGTTGTTGTTGTTAAACTTAATATTCTCTTTATTCCAATTTGTTTGTCATAAAATCAATGTACATTTTGCCCAAAATCTCGCCGATTAAAGTGTAGATATTGAATATTGTTGGCTTCTCTTATAGGAAATTTTTTTTGTCGTCAATTTCTTGTCGAGTTTGACATGGTTGCAGTGCACTTCTTCATTCAACCCAGGTTCATTATCTTCCATGCAAACCCTAGCCAAATTAGTTGACCTCATTATGTGCAAAATATATAATCAGAGAAAACCCCTCAAATAAGAAGAAATTCGAACCACTCAAAATAAGCCCTAAAATTAGATGAACCAAAAGATTATAGAGAAGAAGAAGGCTTTGATTCACATAAAAGAATTTGATTTTGTTCGAAATTTCATCTGTTGGCCAGAAATTGTGACTAATTGAAGGAGAGGGAGATTTATGGTTCTTGAAAAAGAGAAAATAATTGGATCAGGTAATTATGTTGATCGTCTGGCGTGGGGATCTTCCCCCGCTGTCGAGGCGTTATCTCGGTTGCGACCATAATTTTTCTTAGCCTGGTCACTCAAAAATTCTCTGAGATGACCGTTCTTTAATAGTGTCTCCACTTCTTCCCGGAGATGTCGAAAGTCCCCAGTCCGGTGTCCATTCATCCCGTGGTATTCACAGCACAAGTTGGGATCACTCTGGATGGGATCAGATCTCATCGGCTTCGAAAATCGTGCTTCTTTGATGTTTCCCATAGCCGATACTATCTCTACTACGCTGAAATTGAAATTGTGTTTTGAAAGCTTGGGGTAGGAAGGATCCCACATACCTGACGCTTCCTTGTCCTGCAACGATCTATTATTCCGACCGTGACAAGACCTTCTATCGGTAGCGAATCTATCTACTAACCGGAAACCTCTGCTGCGGCCTTCAGTCCATTCGTAGGGAAAAAACCGGCCTCTCAAAGATCATCTATCCGTGTCGGAGTCGTCTTTTGATCTTTCTTTGTTCTTCTCCCGTCCCTTTGCCGATGACGGGACACCAACCTGATCATCTTTGATCCTTATCTTTGACTCGTACCATTGTGTACATCCGCCCTAGTAGTTTCTTGGAACTTAAGAAAAATTTCCTTCAGTTTTCGGAAAGTGTCTAAACTTCTCGAATTCAGTCCTTTGGTGAATGCTTCAGCCGCCCATTCATCTGGAACATCCGGGAGCAACATCCTCTCCTTTTGGAACCGGGTAACGAACTCTCGCAGAAACTCAAATTCTCCATGTGCAATTCTGAATATGTCGTCCTCTCGGGCCTGCACCTTTCTGGCCCCGGCATGAGCCTTAATAAAAGAATCCGCGAGCATCTCAAAGGAATTTATGAAATCCTTGGGTAACAGTGAATACCACATCAAGGCTCCTCTCGTGAAAGTTTCTCCAAACTTCTTCAGCAAAACAGATTCAATCTCATGAGGCACTAAATCATTCCCCTTCACCGCCATTGTGTAGGTGGTAATATGATCCTGAGGGTTTGAAGTTCCATCATACTTGGGCACGTCGGGCATTTTAAACCAATTCACGATTAATTCGGTTGCCGCGCTTGGTTTATACGGCAGCTGAGTATACTTGTTTGGGTACGGTCCTTTCAACATTGGGGGTGCGCCCGGGATTTGGTCTATGCGGGCGCTCACGTCTCTCATAAACCGTAAGAGTTCATTCTTGAAGGGGTCATTTTCGTTGTTGGGTCTGGATCCGCTCCCCCCAAGCTCCATCAGAGCCAACTTCGCCCCTCAAGGTGTTGTTATCGGTCCTCTAAGTTATCCGATTTGCGAGAACGCTGGGAGGAACTGAATCTCGTCTATTCGCATTAATTGAAGCCCCCAACAATGTCTGCTTCAATTCCGTCATAACCTTATCCTGCCGCGTAAGATGGCCCAAAATGATTTCTCGTTGCTCTTGTTTGACCCTTACCGCATCAATAACATATTCCTCTTCAGCATCATCAGAAGTTGCTTCCAGAACATGCCGCGGGTATCGCATGTCGTGTAATAGCGTGGCATCGTTCCCTTCATCGTGGGTGTCACTGATTGAATCCTCAAAATATGGCTGATCCCCTCGAACCTCGGTATTGTGTGTGTTGTTAACACCGTTATATGCCATTTCTTGTGATTTTTTTAAAGACAAAATCATTAAAATACTTTAGTAAAAAGGCAAGTATCAACTTAATTACACGGCTATCTAGGCCCCATAGTGGGTGCCAAACTGTTTATCCATAAAATGGTACAGTTGAATTTATACGTGGTTTCTAGACAAGTAAACTAATTCGATCCTGAAATAATAAGATGATTGAAGAAATATGTAATACTTAGCCTTGATGTGAAGATGAAATAGCAGAAATAGCGACTCCGAGCACAACAACAATAAGAACAAAAAATAAGAAGATAAAGTCGTATAGATCTTAGTATAGATTATAGTATCAGTTTTGCCAGCAAATATCGTGTTCTTTACAATGGTAATAAAGCTCACTATTATGGTTACACCTAGGAAATAAGGACCTAGGATCAAGCCTCTCTTCAATGCCAATTACGAGGGCCATTGAAGAATGTGTAACGACATGCATAAATGACAAATTCTTTATAACGAGCAGTGCACTCAATGCTATAGAATATTCTTCATTAATGACACCGGGCGGAGGCATTTATTGTCTCTTTATGAGCGTCATTCCTTTTGGTAGCAAACGGAATAATTGCCTTCGGTTCCACGTGTCATTCTTTTAAGCGGCTATCTGTCATAACATATTTTTCCCTATACAGATATTTAATAATATTAATTATGAAGTATTTATGTTTGATATTGTTTGTCTCTCTTAAAAATATTTTAGTTGATTAACATTTTACTAATTGCATCAGTAATTGTGAAATTGGAAGAAAAAAAAATTAAAATAAGAGTTACACTTTTTGGTTTTCTAAAAAAAGATTTTGAGATAAATTTAATTTTTTTAGTCGAGGGTCTATCGAAAATAATTTCTAAGACTGAGTACATCCTACCCTCCTTAAATATCACATGTGGGATTACATTGGATTGTTGTTATTGTTCTTGTTGTTAAACTTAATATTCTCTTTATTCCAATTTGTTTGTCATAAACTCAATGTACGTTTTGCCCAAAATCTCGCCGATTAAAGTGTAGATATTGAATATTGTTGGCTTCCCTTGTAGGAAATTTCTTGTGTCGTCAATTTCTTGTCGAGTTTGACATGGTTGCAGTGCACTTCTTCATTCAACCCAGGTTCAATATCTTCTATGCAAACCCTAGCCAAATTAGTTGACCTCATTATGTGCAAAATAAATAATCAGAGAAAACCCCTCAAATAAGAAGAAATTCGAAGCACTCAAAATAAGCCCTAAAATTAGATGAACCAAAAGATTATAGAGAAGAATAAGGCTTTGATTCACATAAAAGAATTTAATTTTGTTCGAAATTTCATCTGTTGGCTAGAAATAGTGACTAATTGAAGGAGAGGGAGATTTAGGGTTCTTGAAAAAGAGAAAATAATTGAATCGGGTAATTATGTTGATCGTCTGGCGTGGGGATCTTCCCCTGCTATCGAGGCATTGTCCCGGTTGCGACCATAATTTTTCTTAGCCTGGTCACTCAAGAATTCTCTGAGATGACCGTTCTTTAATAGTGTCTCCACTTCTTCCCGGAGATGTCGACTGTCCCCAGTCCGGTGTCCATTCATCCCGTGTTATTCACAACACAAGTTGGGATCACTCTGGCTGGGATCGGATCTCATCGGCTTCGGAAATCTTGCTTCTTTGATGTTTCGCATAGCTGATACTAACTCTACTACGCTGAAATTGAAATTGTGTTTTGAAAGCCTGGGGTAGGAAGGATCCCACATACCTGACGCTTCCTTGTCCTGCAACGATCTACTGTTCTGACCGTGACCAGACCTTCTGTCGGTAGCGACTCTATCTACTAACCGGAAACCTCTGCTGCGGCCTTCGGTCCATTCGTAGGGAAAAAACCGGCCTCTCAAAGATCGGCTATCCTTGTCGGAGTCGTCTTTTGATCTTTCTTTGTTCTTCTCCCGTCCCTTTGCCGATGACGGGAAACCAACCTGATCATCTTTGATCCTTATCTTTGACTCGTACCCGTTGTGTACATCCGCCCAAGTAGTTTCTTGGAACTCAAGAAAACTTTCCTTCAGTTTTCGGAAAGTGTCTGAACTTCTCGAATTTAGTCATTTGGTGAATGCTTCAACCGCCCATTCGTCTGGAACATCCGGGAGCAACATCCTCTCCTTTTGGAACCGGGTAACGAACTCTCGCAGCAACTCGAATTCTCCATGTGCAATTCTGAATATGTCGTCCTTTCGGGCCTGCACCTTTCTGGCCCACATGAGCCTTAATAAAAGAATCCGCGAGCATCTCAAAGGAATTTATGAAATCCTTGGGTAACAGTGAGTACCACATCAATGCTCCTCTCGTGAAAGTTTCTCCAAACTTCTTCAGCAAAACAGATTCAATCTCATGAGGCGCTAAATCATTCCCCTTCACCGCCATTGTGTAGGTGGTAATATGATCCTGAGGGTCTGAAGTTCCATCATACTTGGGCACGTCGGGCATTTTAAACCGCTTCGCGATTAATTCGGTTGTCACGCTTGGTTTATACGGCAACTGAGTATACTTCTTTGAGTACAGTCCTTTCAACATCGTGGGTGCGCCCGGGATTTGGTCTGTGCAGGCGTTCACGTCTCTCATACACCGTAAGAGTTCATTCTTGAAGGGGTCATTTTCGTTGTTGGGTCTGGATCCGCTCCCCCCCAGCTCCATCAGAGCCAACTTCGCCCCTCAGGATGTTGTTGTCGGTCCTCTGAGTTTTCTAATTTGCGGGAACGCTGGGAGGAACTGAATCTCGTCTATTCGCATTAATTGAAGCCCCCAATAATGTCTGCTTCATTTCCGCCATAACCTTATCCTGCCGCGTAAGATGGCCCAAAATGATTGCTCGTTGCTCTTGTATGACCCTTACCGCATCAACAACATATTCCTCTTCAGCATCATCAGGAGTTGCCTCCCGAACATGCCGTGGGTATCGCATTTCGTGTAATAGCGTGGCATCGTTCCCTTCATCGTGGGTGTCACTGATTGAATCCTCAAAATGTGGCTGATCCCCTCGAACCTCGGTATTGTGTGTGTTGTTAACACCGTTATATGCCATTTCTTGTGATTTTTTTTAAAGACAAAATGTTTAAAATACTTTAGTAAAAAGGCAACTATCAACTTAATTACACGGCTATCTAGGCCCTATGGTGGGCGCCAAATTGTTTATCCATAAAATGGTACAGTTGAATTTATATGTGGTTTCTGGACATGTAGATTAATTCGATCCTGAAATAATAAGATGATTGAAGATATATGTAATACTTAGCCTTGACGTGAACATTAAATAGCAAAAATAGCGATTCCGAGCACAACAACAATAAGAACAAAAAATAAGAAGATGAAGTCGTATAGATCTTAGTATAGATTATAGTATCAGTTTTGCCAGCAAATATCCTGTCCTTTACAATGGTAATAAATCTCACTATTATGGTTACACCTAGGAAATAAGGACCTAGGATCAAGCCTCTCTTCACTACCAATTACGAGGGCCATTAAAGAATGTGTAACGACATGCATAAATGACAAATTCTTTATAACGAGCAGTGCACTCAATGCTATGGAATATTCTTCATTAATTCCACCGGGCGGAGGGTATTTATTGCCTCTTTATGAGCGTCATTCCTTCCGGTAGCAAACAGAATAATTGCCTTTGGTTTCACGTGTCATTCTTTTAAGCGACTATCTGTAATAACATATTTTGCCCTATACAGATATTTAATAGTATTAATTATGAAGTATTTATGTTTGATATTGTTTGTCTCTCTTATAAATGTTTTAGTTGATTAATATTTTACTAATTGCATCAGTAATTGTGAAATTGGAAAAAAAAAATTAAAATAAGAGTTGCACTTTTTGGTTTTCTAAAACAAGATTTTGAGATATATTTAATTTTTTTAGTCGAGGGTTTATCGAAAATAATTTCTAAGGCTGAGTACATCATACCCTCCTTAAATATCACATGTGGTATTATATTGGATTGTTGTTATTGTTAAACTTAATATTATCTTTATTCCAATTTATTTGTCATAAACTCAATGTACATTTTGCCCAAAGTCTCGCCGATTAAAGTGTAGATATTGAATATTGTTGGCTTCTCTTGTAGGAAATTTTTTTTGTCGTCAATTTCTTGTCAAGTTTGACATGGTTGCAGTGCACTTCTTCATTCAATCCAGGTTCATTATCTTCCATGCAAACCCTAGCCAAATTAGTTGACCTCATTATGTGCAAAATATATAATCAGAGAAAACCCCTCAAATAAGAAGAAATTCGAATCACTCAAAATAAGCCCTAAAATTAGATGAACCAAAAGATTATAGAGAAGAATAAGGCTTTG